ATACCGTCAAAGTGGCCTGACTCAACCATTCAAAACCTATGTGCCACGCATTACGGAGAGTCGGGGAACAAACTCTTTCAAAAGCGTTTCTGAGAACTGAGCCAAGTGGGAGGTGTTGCATTGGCTGGTCTGCCCTCTTCATAGGCTTGCCACAAACACTTGTGGAGAATTATCTCTCCCAAGGCCAATTTATTCTTTTGTTATGCTAACTCAACACTGTTGAGCTGACCCATTTCTTAACATCCCTATTTATATACAATGATCACAAAAGTAGAGCTTCATACATACCAATCTTGGTCCAAAATCTCGTCAACCATTGTACTTCCTTCGAAGCACCCCAAAATCTGCAACCATAACGTCCACGCTGAGTAGACTTTCTGAAAATTAAAGTTATTTCTCTAACTCCTTTGGTACTGAAGTATAGGATTATTAAGTAGGCAGACATACCGCAAGTCCCAACCTTATCCTCTACAAAATCTCAGGTCTTAAACATGTATAAATTTTGGAGAACTTTTCAGTACCACATATATACATTTCAGGCCAAAACTGATATAACACATGACCACACAATCTATCCATTGATAGTGGACTCCCCCACTCGGCGCGATGTCATAGTTCACCACATCCGATGATCCAAAATATTAACCTTCACAACTCGTATAAATCAACCAGATGACAATGTCCGTTGCACCCCTCACATGATTCACTGGTTGATCTCTCAATACGTCCGCATCTTCAGTTGGAACCACACGTTGAGGCAATGTTGAGCATCTCTGGCTCTCTCGTAGTCCATCTGCGGCATCAAGAACCGTCGACGCACAACTGATACCGAGTGCGCAATGTCATACACGAGTGGATACAAAGGAATATGAGATATATATTTCAAGATAAATCAATGTCGTATGATAAGGAATGAAAGAAGTAGAATTATTCCTAAACTATGTAGCCTCTGGAAGATAAGTACAGACGTCTCTGTACCGATCCTTCAGACTCTACTAAGCTTGCTCATGACTCGTGAGACCTATGTAACCTAGTGCTCTACCAACTGTCACGACCCGAAATTCCCACCTTCGGACTGTGATGGTGCCTAACATTTCACTTGCTAGGCAAGCCAACGTTACAATAATATTATCCATTTTTAAAATAATTTTTTATTTATTTATTAATAACAAAGAACATATGCGGAAGTGAAGTCTGAAATGTAGTGAATAATCCTTAAAAATAACGGTGTCTAAATACCATCCCAGAATTGGTGTCACAAGTGCACGAGCTTCTATTATAATACAAATAAAGGTCTGAATAAAATAAAGCTGTCTGGAAACAAACACACAGCTAAAGTAAAGTAGACGGGGATTTCAGAACTGCGAACGTCGTGCAGTTATACCTCAAGTCTCCTTTGAGTAGCTCAAATCCGAGCAAGTCTATGGTACGTCGCTGGGACCAACTCCAAAATCTGCACAAGAAGTGTAGAGTGTAGAATCAGTACAACCGACTCCATGTACTGGTAAGTGCTGAGCCTAACCTCAACAAAATAGTGACAAGGCTAAGGCGGTTCACTTACATTAACCTGTATGCAATATTAGTAACAACAACAAATAATAGAAATAAATCAGGTAACTCATTTATAATAATTGAAGCCAATTCAACAGTCATAACCAATTATCATTTTCATCAATTCTATTGCAGCGTGCAACCCGCTCTCATAATATATTCACATTCAATTCTGTTGCAACGTGCAACCCGCTCTCCCAAGATATTCCTTTTAATCAATTCTGTCATATATTTATTTCAATCAAGTATTTATAGACTTTTAAATAAGTCTGTTGTGGTGTGCAATTCGATCCCCCGATATTGACTTTTAATAAGTCTATTGCGACGTGCAATCCGATCCCCCAATATTGACTTTTAAATAAGTCTATTGCGGTGTGCAATCCGATCCCCTAATTATTGACTTTTAATAAGTCTGTTGCGGGGTGCAATCCGATCCTCCAATATGGACTTTTTAATAAGTCTGTTGCGGCGTGCAACCCGATCCTCCAATATGGACTTTTTAATAAGTCTGTTGCGGCGTGCAAACCGATCCTCCAATATATCCATTTTAATTAATTCTTATCGAAGAAATCTCTCCAATAAATGCAACAATTAATATAAAATTATAAGACAACAAGCATACAATAATTATGATTTAATTATGAAA